GTAGAAAGGAACGATTGGCCATCGGTGATCGGTCCTGTGGGAACAATGCTCCGTCCTCTCGAGGACGCGTGGTCAATGGTCTAACCGCTAAGACATGCAAAACATAAGAGTACGCCCCCCCATCACTTTCAATCAGCGTTCACAGCATATCCGCTCGGCAGGTATCCGCGGCCACACAGGAGGGCCCCCCTTTCCCGTATCCACACCCCTTTTGCTGCGGGTCTTTGGCTTTCGATTCTTGACGCGAGAATAGTGCAGCACGCTCAAAAATCGTACCATGATCGCAAGCACTCTGTCTCTCTTATTGCTGCGGCGCGAAGATTCCAACGCCGCGCTCGGACCCGGAGCATGGCACAGACAGTAGCTTCGTCCGGACGGAGCCGGAGTTTCGACAAGTTTGCCAACCAGAACATGCCACGCACCAACAACGGACTCGCTTGGCAACAACACAAAGCAATAAGTTGCCGGCCGCAAACAAAGCACGCTCCCTAGTGGTGGGCGGGGGGGAAAGGAACTTCACCAACGACGTGAAACAAGTTCCGCATCAATGCACGCTCTTCTTCCAACCCGTCTGTACACACTCTCGCGGAACCAACAATTTTTGGACAGTAATTTACAGCACACCTTCCTTCTGATGTTCGACCCTCGGTCGCCCCTAGCAAGTTCTAGCGAAGCCTCCAAAATGGCACCCCCGCAACTCCCACCCTCCCGTCAAATGTACACGGCGCCAAGAATCGTCCGCCCTGCAACAGCCGAACAGAGATATTTGCACTCTCATTTCTTTGGGGGTTTTCATGCCAGCCTGGCAGGCCTTCTCCTTGTTTCACCTCGTCAGCATTTCGAATATCTACCCTACAATTCTTGGTCGCCCTGCAGAAACACCACCCAGAGAATCTCCGAAAATACGGAGCTACACGCACATGACCATATAGTGTCCCTGGGTCCACAAGACAGAACAACGGCAAGGAGGCGAGAGCGGAAAAACACAACACACGCCCGCCCGCCCGCATGTTACCCGGGAGAGGGAGGTGTCTCGTCCTTACACCAGAGACCTTAAAAACAAACCAACAAACACAGGCAGTGCTCCATTCGAGTGCGAATGATGGCGGGGCCATTACTGACCCCCCTCCGAAGGGGAGAACTTGCATCTGTTTCATGAACGCAAACACATAATGGCGACCATGAGCGCACAAAAAACCACAAGAGAGAAAAACAACCCCACGACAAGATAAAACAGACGCACAGCAGTCCCGGCTTGGCCAGACTGAAGCAGCTCTCGATGTACAGCAGATTAAAGGAGCCTCGAAAGACGGACATCGTCAGCGCTGACAACATCTTCCTCTACGAAACGGTGCAAAGCCCTCTCGGGAGATGAAAACCCAAGTGACGAGAAGAAGGGGGCTTGTGCAAGCGTCCGCGATTTTTTTTCCGCTGCCCAACATGTTGCAAATATAATCACACGATACAAGAAAGAAAGGTGTCCGTCAACGTCCCCTTTCTTTTCTTCTACTCCTCTCGCCTGCACACTTACACCACGAAACATGACGCACACGCCTGGTACGCACAGGGACACGTAACACGTAACTCCGCTGACAGACAAGGGGAGGCATTCAACGAACCCAACTCCCTTCTTGACGAAAAAAGAGAAAGGGAAGGCTGCCCACACAGCGATCCCGCTTACAGGACACACGCACGCGTTGGTAGTACACTTTCGATCCCAAGGCACATACATCGACCTACCCATAGATGTCGGTAGTAGTACACTTTCAAATCCAAGGCACATAAAGCGGCCTACGCATAGATGTCGGTAGTAGTACACTTTCAAATCCAAGGCACGACAAAGCGACCCGAAAGGAAAGACGACCTCTCCCTCCCCTCCTTCACTTGAAGGAGATGACCTTCCACAGCTTCACGCTAAAGCCGAGGGTGTCGCTCATCACTCCGGACAGGGCCGACACGAGAACCACCCGGGTCACATTGTACAGCACCGGGTTCATCGAAAGGCCGGACAACTTGTTGGGGCCGTCGAGCTCCTTGAGGAGCTTCGTGGCCAGCTTTAGGACGTTGGTCGACACTCCCAGCCGTTCCCGCTTCATTACCTGGTTTTGTTCGTGATTGTACGCGGGGTGTGTGTGTGTGTGTGTACTCATAGTCGTGCAAGCCGTAGTCGTTCGACCATTGACCTCGCATTCCCACAAAGCCGGGACGGGG